GCAATATAATTATACCCGCTTTAATGGATATATTTCCCAATTAAGACGATGACCAAATTTTAAGAAACGGTGTCTGATTTCAACACTACCATATTTTGGTATACCTACTCGTCAAAAATTATTTTCAAGAAACTTTTCTAGAAAAATGAATAGATAAGCGAGGATGCATTGAATGAATTTACCATATGACAACTAGCACAGTAAAATATAACAATTTTAGTTGCAACGGATAGCGAAAACCCGCTATCACTTTTCGTTCGCCTGTAATTAAGCCGGTCTGGAACGTTGTTGGGTCCATCCCTGTTTGTACACACATATGTACAGGGTTATTCATTATAAATTACCCACGCCTTATCATCGTTATTATTGTTTGTAAAAAAAAAGTTTTAAATAAAAGTTGTGTGGTTATGACTGAATTTTGTTAAATTGCTATCAAAAGTATATTATCCTGCGGATTTTTGGGGATACAAAAAATATTTGTTTTAAATAGGTAGTAAAAATGTATATTATTAAATTTTTGGAATGATCCTTTTTTTCTGATTTCAAAAATATACCATATGTTACCTCTATATTATACCCTTTTTGAGTTATTAAACTTCGAATATCTTAGTTAAACTAGTTGCTGTAAATACAGAAAAGTTAACATTATTAAAGTAAGCTATGGAAATGACAAGTATTATATTCGATAACTGACATTTCTTTAATCGAAACACAAAATTGTTTAGAGAGAGATGTGCGAAGAAAAAGTCCAAAATATTCATACAAAATATATAAGAAAAAATTATTTAGGAAATTTAAATATAAATAAATGATAACTCATAACCATTGTTCGATGTGTCCACCATTATTGTCAATGCATAATTGACAATGTCTTCTCAATCTTATTCTGTTGTGCTTGTTTTCCCACGACCTGCGATTTTTCCTATTAAAAACTCCTACTGTAGAAAAGGATGATTCATCAGTCCATAATATTTTAGTAAAATCATCGGGATCTTCATCCAACTTTTGAATCATCTGGCGGCAAAAGTCCAGCCTTTTCCTTTTATGAGCCTTTGTTAAAAGTTGAACCTTGTTACCTTCGAAATGAAACAGTAGGTATAGATATACTATAATAGCTGTTCTTCCTGTTTTGCTTGAACTACACGCTTTTTCTACTAAAACTGAAGGTATTATTCACTTTTCGGTAAATATTTTTGAACGTATTTTCTGACGGTGTTGGACGATTTGTATACAACATCATATATTCTCTTTTTGCTGAACATCTATTTTTGTTATTTTGTATATAACAAATAAATATTTGGACTTTTTCTTCCTCACTGTAAACCATTTCGATTATTTCATTAAAGAAATGTCACTTATCAAACATAATAGGTGTCATTTTCATAACTTACTTTAATAATGTTAACTTTTACATATTTACAGTAACTATTTTAACTAAAATATTCGACGTTTAATAACTCAAAAACGGTATAAGATAGGGGTAATATATGGTATATTTTTGAAATCATGAAAAAGGAGCATTTCAGAAATTTATTAATATACAGGGTATCGCATTAAAAAAATATTTTTTTTGAATGGGATAATTCAGTCATAAGCACACAATTTTTATTAGGCAATAGGGGTGGGTAATTTGTAATGAATAACCATGTACTTTGTAGCTATACAGGCTCTATTAGACTAGGACACTGGTGGTGCAACCAAATTAATGCAACTAAATTAAACCTAAACCCAAATGTAAGAAATAAATGAACAATTTTATATGGGAATATAATTTAAAAAATATTGCCATCACCACAATGTTCCTCAAATTGAGTAACTCTGTTTTCTTCTCGTGGCGACAATGTTGACTCCTTATAAATTTTCTTGTCTCCTTTTTCTTTTTAATCAGCTGATCAAGAGGCACAGTTTCAAACATTTCACGAGATAAAATAATTGTCAACGTTTTTTTTGCGATGGTGCCACTGGTGGCTGATATACGAGGTGTATAAATTAAGTAATGAGACAGGCAACGTAGCGCCTGCCGATTTAGGAACACTGTGGAGACGGGACTTAGAAGGGCGGTAGGTTAACATGTAATGCATCTTCAGTACAAGTTTGAACTTGTTAGAGTCATTTATTTCTTCGTTGTGACTGTTTTTCGTAGACCGGATTTTTCTAGTGCGTTTTAAAAATGACTGACATTAATTTTGAGCAACGGTGTGCTATCAGGTTTTGCTTCAGACTTGGACACAGCGCAACGGATACTTTTGCAAAACTTCAACACGCAGTGAGGCAGTGTTTTTTTCAAAATCCCAGGTTTCTTGGTGGTTTAAGGTCTTCTTAGAAGGAAGAGAGTCGATTGAAGATGAACCACACAGCGGAAGGCCTTCAAAAACGACGAAAAAGTGTCATGCGTATGAGACCAAACATCAAGAGAACAACTGGATGTTGCATCATGACAATGAGCCTTGTCACACAGTAATTTTAGTAAACGAGTTTTCAGCCAGTAAAAACGTTCCTGTGGCTCCTAATTCACCTGACTTGAGTCCTTGTGACTTCTTTCTCTTCCCGAGATTGAAAAATATCTCAAGGGACGTCACTTTGGGACCATTGAAAACATTCAAACGGCTGTAACCGACCAGTTGAAGGCTATTCCAGTATATGAGTTCCAGCACTGCTATGAGGAATGGAAAAACCGTCTCCAGTGCTATGTGGCTTCCTAAGGAAGTTATTCTGAAGCAGACAGTACTGAATTATAATTCTATTCTGCTAACAAAATTAAAAAATCAGTCTCATAACTTAATTTACACACCTCGTATTTTTAACTCATTAAAAACTCATAAAATGGAATACCTATGTCTGCTAAATTTCAGTGGGCCTTTTTTGAATAGCTTGTTATGGTGAAAATAGAAAAATCAATGAGTAACGATGTAGACCAGTTTCTATGTAACACTACGACGCATAATAAATACTGAAAAGAAAACGGTAGCTGAAGATTTCTACCTAATGAATAATGACAACGCGAAATGTATCTGATGAAACTCGAATTCCAACTCAGACTGAAATCGACAATGATAAGTCGAGGAGAAAGTAATTAATTAGCTGGTCTAATTCAACTAATAATTGCAATCAACTGTTATCTAAAAGAAGGTCATAACTTGAAGACCTAGAGAGGGACTAATTGATGATGGCTGTCTTACGGATTTTTATCGCTCGTACATGTTTGCGTGTCGGCAAATAAGTTATGAGTACCTTTAAGCGCAATGTAGATAATTTATTAATCTGTAATAAATAATGAAAATATCGATATAAACGCTTTATTGAGTGTAGTGGTTTTTACGAAATGCCGATTTATGGTGGTTACCTAAAGCATATTTGAATATTATTATTTTATAGGTACTTAATTTGTCATTTGTCTACCAGAAAAAAAAATCAAGTCACAGAAATATAGTTTTATTAATTAACTCTCACTTAGTAACATATTGACGATGACTAGTAATGCTTCAACTAATGGTAGTTAGTCTTTATTTACACTTTTTTGTTTTTTTTTTCTAGCCTAAAAATATTCGCAATGATTCATTACTATTCTTGAAGAATTTTCTACATTTCCGGTAATACATGTAAACGAATTTGACTCTGGAGTGATTCTGCATCACCCTGAGGGGTATCTCGATAAGTGCTTTCATCGTTGTAAGTTCATATACATTTCAGACAACGCAATCGCACAACAAATTAAGCACAATAAAATATATTTTTAAACAGATTATTTTAAATAATTATTTTTCCCAAAAGCAAATTCCATTGAAACACTCTCTAAAAATTTGCAGCACTAATCAAGTCTTCTTTACATCCTTCGTTATGCGAGACAAATCGAAATGTTGTACCTATTAATTTATTTAGAGGAACGTACGTATTCGGAACGCTCAAACTTCTGCTGGGAAGCATATAAATCTCGGACCAATAAATAAATGCCAACTAATTGAGAGTGGTAGAAGTTACACTGTTATGTTATAGATAGATGAGGCCCATTTTTCTATTAATGGTGGTCATATTCAAAAAACTGTCGAATATGGTCAATTAAAAATCCACATAATAATTCAGAAAAGGTATTCGTATAACATAATATAAAACAAAGTCGCTTCCCGCTGTCTGTCTGTCCCTACCTATGTATGCTTAGATCTTTAAAACTACGCAACGGATTTTGATGCGGTTATTTTTAATAGATAGAGTGATTCAAGAGGAAGGTTTACATGTATAATACATGCATAATATAGTAGAGAAACACTGATAATTTTAGAGGTTTCTAATGTGATGTCGTAAATAAACACATTTATTTGCGCTTACATTGCAAACGCTGGCTGAACCCTACGAGATAGATCAAAATAATGTAGTACAATATTGTACACCTTAAAAAGGTCTACAAAAAAGTCCGCGATGGTATATGTCTATCTCTTAGGGATAACCCACAATAACCATTTTTTTATATTTCCGTGCGAAGCCGGGGCGGGTCGCTAGTATTAGATATAATAAGACCGAAATCCGGATCTGTGACTTCTAATAAGTGAATGACGATGAACAGGAAAGTATTCTCTTATTAATGAATTATTACTTGTTATATTACCCACATTTTTCTTGATAAAATTTTGTTGGGACCTTTGAGTAACATGTTCGTGATGAAATTATGGCGATACGCCAAATCACAGCAAACATTAAATCATAATAAACAATTTGAAAGGCTCCCTACTCCCCAAGATGCTTCAAAACCCATTATGGTAGAAGCTTGTATTATTATTTAAATTTCTTTACTTCTAGAATCCATAAAACCACGTATGAATATTTGATGTTTTTCATTCGAATTCGAATATCGTCATTATTTATTTGACTTGAAGGTAGCGAAATGCAGGTTTTCCGCTACCTGAATCTGGGACTAATAATTTTTCCACTCAATATATGCAATTACCAGAGGGTTGAATAATTTACAAAACACAGTACTGCTCTACAACTTCTGTATGTACCTCATACCCGCGGCGATAGCTGAGTGGGTAAAGCGGCCAGTGGGAGATGACGATAACTCCAAGAGCAAATATCCGCGCGGGTTCGAATCCTGCCCGTGGAAGTTTGCACCTGTTACAGGGTTTGGTTATGTGTCCTACATCTTTTCTATGTGTACTCTCCCTCTGACACAATCGTAATGATTCCTGGAGGGAGAATATCAATGTCTGTGGTATGATAATGTTTAATAGACATTGTTTCTAGTTTAAAAGATAAACCTTGCAGCCTGCTACCTCCTGAAAATTGTCCTTTGGTAATTTATAAACGTACCAGGGTTATACACATTTAAAACTTAACCAGGGTTTTCCTCATCTTTGATCTTTCGGTCAATAGCTATAAACAATAAACAAATTATTGTATTGAACATACGATCAATCCGTTTTTTATCCAGTTGCATTATCTATTTTTTTTACACATTATTTCAGTCGATTATTGAGACACATAACTCGCAACCTTTTTTTAGTATCTCTTATTGTGTATTTTTTTTCACTGCCTATTATCGGTATAGCAAAATTGCCTGTCATTTATCAATAGATTTTCCGATAGAATTAAGTCCGTCACTGGAATGCAATATTCAGATTCGATCCCTATTGATTAGCAACCCGTACACATTGCGGCATAATTGAATATTTTTCTCTTTGTACATCGTCGGATCGATTCGCGTGTTATAATTTTGGACAAAAAGGAATAGTCGGAAACGGGATCAGACGGTGCCCTGGGGCCGTCGCCGTTTCATTGTTCGCAGACGACGATGACTTGCGGACACATTTTTACCAGGAATTCAGTCCACCTGATGTCAATACAGAACGGCACGTAGCTAATTGGACTGGAAGATGTGGTTTTTCCCTGTTTCATTTATCGGCTGAATATTGACCGTGTCGGAAGGCGGAATAGGTGAGACGACGTCGATTCTAATGGAGCTTTTGCAGTGTTACCAACTTAACCCTCACGGTGCGCACTGGGTATGGTATGCCCAAGGAGAAACTGAATTTTTACCAGTAGAATTTTTTACACATCCATGTAGTGGAGTGGAAGTATAGTATCGATGAAAATATTTTTATTGGCTAAATAATTCTAAAACGAGAGAATTCGAGATTTTAAATTTAAGCGAAAAAAATGTTCTGTCGCTGTCGGTCTGTTAACCTTTACTGTGTGCATGATATATCGAAAACGCTTTGAGATATCAATTTGAAAGAGATATTTATATATCATGATTTACAAAATTACGGACTAAACCTTAATGGTAACTCTCAGAGTCTCAATTTTTCATGATAATTTAGTTTTTTCTATTGACCGAGTTTATTTTATAAAAAATCTTTCTACCACACTTTGTCATCGAAATTGTGAAAATCAAAAACGTTGAATAAACAATAAACACATAGATAATTATTAAAAATACAGTAGAATCTCGATATAATGAACTAATTGATGAATTTCTTTTTCAGTCCACCAAGGTTGTTCACTACTTATTGTGCAAGTAAAAATACACAATAGTGATGCACCATTGCTTGTTCCTTGTCTTGTAACGATTGTATACTGTTTCTTGTTTATATATTTAAAGGAAATAAAAATGTGACATATTCGTAGGGATTCATATTAGCGAGGCACAAGTTGTTCACTATTCAGAGGTTAATGTCCATATTTTTATGTTCACTGCAGTAGGTAGTTCCCTACACGGTATGTTTACTATATCGAGACTCTACTGTACTGTTATTAGCTAGTTGACAACTAATTTTGGTGACAAAGTGTGATATACTTCATATACTTATTAATGTGGCTTGTGTCATTATTATTAAGATGACGTTTTCTACCTAAACCAATATTTTTTGTTAAGCACTAAAGATTCAAAATTGGTCTGCTCCAGAAGTATTCGGGAAAAAAAAATAAAAAATGCGCCTTGTATATCAGAAAATGTAAAATTTTAGCACCTTGTATCTCAATAATTAAGTCACTTAGGAAAAAACTTGATATGACCTTTTCTTCATAAACTTACTTGAGGGAGTATCTCCTTCAGTTTTTCAGATTACTTAAGAAACACCCTGTACAAGTAGTATAATATTTATAAAATATTTGGATTAATGATCGTGTATTAAGTTTTAATAGTATTTTACGGTGGGTGTTTTAAGAGCAGAGAACACTATTAATTATTCTTTGTGAAGCAAGGTTCCTACCCATATTTTTGTATTGTTTCAGAATCAAGTATGCACTGGATGGCCATTGTGGGCGCCATATTGGTGTGGTCTACAGCCCCAGGGGCCGCTATCAACTCTTCACAAAGAGGACAAGGTACATTATGCTATATTTTGTTCAATACAATACCCGGAAACCAATTCTTATTCATGAATAAGACAACATCATTTGTATTTCATATGTCGAAGTGGGGTTAATCTTCGATATATTACCGATAAGTACGTATAACTAATGTATTGAGGTATAATAAATTAATAATTGACTTAATTTTCTCTCTAAAATTATTTAAATAATTGACATGATCATAGTTGCTTGATTGCTAGGAATGAGGAAGGGTATTAAAAACTTGTAACATAGATCAATAATTTTGTAGTTCATCGTGTTAAACTAAATAAAATAATTTTAATACTACCTCTGGTACTGTCATATGTTACATGCACAGTCTGTTACGGCTGAAGTAACTGCAAGATAACACAAGCTGCGATAAGTGAGTACAAGTTTGTACTTGTTTATATCTCAGGCCTACAAAACTCGGTGCTTGTTGTCCGTCAAGCAGTGACAAGACAAACATTTTACTTAACAATAGTAAGAGACACTTTAATAAGGTACATTCAAGTTGTGTGTTTTTGTCCAGATTGTATAAAATCATGAAAACTATATTTTTTGTTTGTTTGATAAGCTGATGAATTTAGCCATTTTTGTTTCCCTGTTCCGATTTATAGTTACTGTAATAATGTATAGAGCCATCCAAAAAAAAAAAAACGTCATCAAAGTTGGCCGAGAAAAAAAAGACTTATTTCTATTCTTAATCGAATTTATAACCTTATTTACTTGTCAAGACTGTCACATCATATGACAGCCATTGTTTATTTTACAAATTGTGACAGTCAATTGTCAAATGTTTGACATAACCGAAAAGCTTAGACATGACCGCTATTTCCATCTCTCTCGTTCATAGCCAGAGTTGATGACTTTTTTTTTGGATGTCTCTATATAATGTTTGTATTCTGTTTTATAATTGGTATAAAAAATAACAAGTCGGGTCATATTGACCGGAACAGTACGACTGTATACTAAATTTGAACAGAAGAGCCTTAAGAAGGTTAAACCTGTACGGACGAATATACAGTGTCCGCCATAAAGTTGGAACCATATGGGAATTGTTTTTAATATTAGAGTTTGTTAAAAACTTTTGCTAACAATCACTTCTGCTTCCAAAAACACTTAAAATATCCCAATTCAAAGTTGACAACTCACATCTGGCAACTGTCAAATTTGTGATTTTCCAAAGAAATCTTTATAAAATGGCCTAAATTGTTAATTATTCGAAAAATGTCACTAAGAAATTATGTTTCTAATGACATTTTACGCCTATATGCCGGTTTTGAGAGAAACATTTTGATATCCAAAAAATTTTTATGTTTTCGAAGTTTTTGATTCACTCCCGTAACTAACTGATCCGAAAACATTTAAAACGCTTCAAAGTGGTCTGCCATTGCAATGCATACTGTGCTAATAATATTCGTAGGTATCGTTGGTTTTGAAAATTATTGATATTGTTAATCGAAATAAAGGTACTTCGTGGATTATTTTACAATTTCCAAAAAAATCACTCATTGTTTTTTAACTGTTTTTTTTTTTGTTAAACATTATTTTGTTAGTAGGTACAAAAATGGTTTTAATTACAATTTGGCTGTCTTAACACGTAACTATGCACTTGTTTGTTTGTTATTTTTAAGTCGTAGTAAGCATGATTTCTTAGTGGCATTTTTCGAGATATTAATAATTCAGGCAGTTTTGTAAATATTTTTTTGGTAAATGACAAAATTGACAGCTGCCAGATGTTAGCTGTCAACTTTGAATTGGTGCATTTTAAGTTATTTTGGAGGCAGAAGTGATTGTCACCAAAAGTTTTGGTCAAACTCTAATATTAAAAATCCCATATGGAACCATATGTGATTTTATTATCCCATATGGAACCATATGTGATTTTATTATCCCATATGGAATCATATGGGATTTTATGGCGACACTGTATACGAAAAAAAAAACAAGAGGAACTAAGATTAGGGAAAAAACCTGGGAATATTGATTGCAGGTTATATGTAGCGAGTTATGTTATATTTTCCATTTTGATGGCGTTAAACAAAACATAAACTTCGCGATTTGTCACGCACGTTTATGTCCATCTTTTCTAAATAAGATCGGACATAGCAACTGCAAACTGTGAGGCATCGGCTACTGGAGCTATCTCGAGGAATCAACGAGAGAAAATACAGTTGCGTTACCGCTACCACAGGTCGTCTCTCGCCGATATGCTTGAAGCATTGTATTAGCTAATTGCACCTACTAATTGTTTAACGTAGGCAATACGTTAATTGGCGCATAGTTGACCAATGATGCGATGCAGATGCAAAACGTTAAAAGCATTTATCGCGATGAAAAAATAAGACCGGTTATTGCTGAGGTAACGTTCTATCTGTTACACTAATTTTATTATGTATCAGCGGATAAGGATATAAAACATTTTCTCGTATACAGTGTGGAACGTTGTTAATTATTTCAGGTAGGAAATTGTAGCACTTCTAATAGCACACTCACTGCAGTTGAGTTAATATGGGCACAATTTTTTTTAAACTGTTTTTAGAGAGAAAGAATTGTGACTTTCAAAACGGTTAACATTTTGAAAAGGAATGAATTCTCCTTAGTGGAGCAGGTATTGCATGATTACTACAAGTTCCCGTAATAAATAAAATATATCTTTAATTATCTCAGTTTTTAATATCTCTCCGTACCATCATTCAGATAAAAAAGTTAAAAGTCCCCGACATTTTGAGGTCTCTTTCTCGCTTTAAAATGATCGAAATTAGTTCG